GATATAGCTATAATCTATATACATATATAATGAATAATAATTGAAATGTGACTATTTTACAAAATACTAGTAGCCTAAAACACTGCTAAGACAAGTTACTTTATACAGACCAAAAATCACCTTTGTGTTATTTGATATGGTAACATGAGTGCATGTAACATGGGTAATTCATGAAAATATAAACAATTTAAATAAAGAGCTGGGCTTTGTAAAATGTGAATACACTAAATGGTACAGTTTAAAATATGTAAAAAGTTAGAAAATAATTTTCTTACAAGCTTTCTTTTATGGTGAACAAAAACTTAGTCAAAGCAAATTAAAATTAGCTATACAATGAAAAAAAGTGACATTTCATTGAGTTAACCCACCCTGAAAAAAGCGTGGCTAACAGGACTCTAGGGAAGCCGTGATAGGCCTAGCAAGCTGATGGTGAATTAAACCTTGCTTAAAGAAACCTAGGCAAAATACAAAATTATGACATAAGAGCAAAAATTCAAAGTTCAAACTAAACCAGCCTTGTCATACATCAAGAAACAACAAGTCATGTGGTTCAGATGCCTAATTAGACAACATCAAAATTCTGCCACTAAGATAAAAGAATAAAAAGCAGAAGGATGACTATGCAGATGGTAGATTGAAGGTGCACTTAGCGCCCTCTGGAACATGATAATACAGGAAGTAAACAAGAAACCATTCACTGCATCTTCCCTCAACACTTCAAGGCATCAGAGAAAAGCAAGTTGAAAATGAAATGAATCCAGAACATGACATATATAACAGAGAGCATTGTTTGACAAGTGATTATAGCTTGTTAATCTGTAGCTTAGGTAAAAAAAAAAAATAATAATAATGTTTGTCATAAACAGTATATAATTGTTAATACAAATTTAAAAATGCTCAAAATATAACATGTTAATTTTATGTTCCAAGAAAATTAAGTAAAAATTTCTAAACTCAAAAAAAGTTCTAAGAGTTAATTTGTAATTTGCTGAATGGAATGTCAAATTTAGTTTCAGTCATTATCAAGTTAATAAAAGTAGGTTTCAATTTTACCACTTCCTGGTTGAGAAACCAAAAGAACATTATTTGTGTTCATAATTTTGCAACATGTGGCTTCTATCTTGCATTAAGTTTGTTAATAGTAAAGCAGTTGTAAAGAAATCTAGCATATTGTTAGTTTCTTATTGATTTGGCTACTTTACTTTGAAAAGCCTATATGTCATTCTCTTTATATTGAGCAGGAGTGTTTGTGAATTAACTTTGAAGATTAGATCATTTCCCAGTCTTTAATAATTTTATAACCATGAATTTCAATCCAAAGGTTTTTAGTCATAGAAATAAGTAAGTCTTAATTTGACATTTGTAGGTTTTGTTATTAAAGTTGTCAAATGAATTAAACCAAATATCTATAAATATATTTTCATTTGAAATTAATGTGTCTCGAGGTAATGAATATTGCTTAAAAGGGTCGCGTTGTTGCATTTATGTGGAAAGCCCTATATATATATGTAAAGGATTTTGTAATCTGTACTTCAATAAGGAAATCTTAAGGATACAAGAGTAATGGGTTTGAAAAATGAAAAAGGCTTAGGAATATGTATTTTTGTTTCAGAATATTATTTCTATTTAGCAATGTTTTTCATTTTTGGGTAACATGTACATGTGGCTTTATAAAGCCCAATTTTTCCATTTATTTTCTTTCTTTCTTTCCTGTTGTGGTAGATGTTTTTATATAAATAATTTTGAAATGTCATAATTACAGGATAATTAAAGTATGTTCACATTCCATCTGGCTTCTTGAGATTAAAGCAATTTTTAAATAATTGTGTGTCAAAGTAAAGAAAATATTATATAAACCACAGTATATCTGCTGTATTCAGAGCAAGTGAGGCCTTTTGACCAATACCAAGGCTCATCATGCCGACTGGGATACTACATATAGTTGTGGTCTAGACACACTTTATATTATTGGTTAGTTGAACACAACTGTTTTGGTGTGAACAAGATTAAGCTGGTGAACTGTTATTTTTTATCACTTTTATTTAAGTCTTTATGTATCTTAATTAGGTTTATTTTAACACCAAATTGTTCTTATTATTAATATGTATTTTACTTGAATTAATTTACATATCATTCAGAAGAGCTAGTAAACCAATAAGTTTGTCTTTCATTATTCTACAGCAGGTCAAATGACCACATGATCTAAATTAGGATTGTCCAACTTTATCCTAGTGGCAGGCCATATAGTAATTTGAGTGTGATCTCAGGGACCAAACACTAATCATTAAAGGAAAAAGTATCATAGCTTTATTCAAGCTTATTGATATTAAACACTAGACTAACATGGTAATGGAGAACAAATATTAAGCAATTAAATGTCGACTTCACTAAAAATCAGCTCTGTTCTTAGCTTTGTTTATTTGTTTGTTTTTTCTGGTGGTACATGGATCATCATAACTGTCTTACAGGCCACTGTTTGGTCAATCCAAATCCAATTGATTAATTTAGTATGATTTTAAATGCCAAAATAATTCAGTTTAAATTTTGTGTATTTTTGTATTTAGAATAAATGGGTTTCAAGAAGAGAGGAATATAATCCTAAAACAATTGATCAAATTCACTTGGAAGCGGAAAAAGAAGCTCAACAGCAACAACTTCTCCTGCAGCAGACCCATGTTGACAGAGACAGGAGAAAAAGTAAGTCTTGGTGATAAAATATAAACTTGAATTCTCTAGATAAAGCAATATAAATAGTCATTTGGAAAATTTATTTCGTAGACTATAAAGAAAACCTAATAGTGACATTTTTTAATTTGGAGTTTAGTTTACAAAACAAGTTGAAGAAGGATATATAATATATATATATATAACATTGGAATTGTTTTACACTGTACTAAAAATAACAAAAAAAAACTATTTTATTAACTAATGGCCTTTCACTTCTGATTTTATGCAACATTGCTTAAATACAGCATTTTACCCCAATATTTGAAATTTAATTTTAAAATATAAGTTTTATGCCAAAAAATAGTGTGGAAGTTGTAACATTTTTGTAATGTCTCCAGGTGTACAAACTGTGTCTACTGTGTATTTTCTTTCTCGTTATTTGGGGAGGGGATAATTACTAATGCTTATAATTATTTCTGCCATTAAAGTCTGTAGAACTACAAAAGAGTGATATAGATTTCAGCCTTCTAAATGCATTATAGCTAAGTTGTCAATTTATTGGTTAAGCTCTTGTCTATAGTACCTTCTAGCAGGTTATTGACAACTGGATATCTATCTGCACTTTGTAGGTGGGAGTAAACAGGATGGAAGACTGTGTAAACAATTTATTATTCAATTCTCATAACATTTTATCCCTTTAGAAGCTTTGAAGAAGTTCACCAATGCTACACTTGAAGGTTAAATATAGTGTGTAATCATTAGGTAATGATATCTAGGGCTAGCTAGTAAGGAAGTGTAATGTTAACCTTATACATTGTTTTATAGTGTGAGATAGAAAACAATTACTGTTTACACAGTACATATTTAATTTTTAATGGCTACATGATTGCTTGAATAGGGAGAAAAATAATAGAGAGAAGTGTATTGATGAAATAAAATATGTTAAAAATGATGGGCTATATATAAACTGGATATCTGGTCAATAATGTATAAAGAAAAATTCTGATTTTCTTTGTTTCTTTAATATTTTTAACAGTTACTTTCATTCTGTATTTTGGTTATAATATGTTCAGGCAAGAAACTCATGTAAGTTGTTATAATAAAACATAGAGAACTTGTTACATGTATTGAAAAATGATGTTCAATGGATACACTTATAAAGTTTTAAGCAGGTAATCTAACAATAGGGAGTATAAAATGAAAGGATGTATGTTCTTATATAAAATGTTTTTCACAATGAAATATCAGAAAATTCATAACATAAAAATTGATACAATTACTAAACCAAATTACATGGCTTTTTCATACAGCAGTCTTGATATTACTTAGAAACTTTCTACTAAGTTCCTTGCAATTTGATTCAGTACTTTTAGTTTGTGAACTTACAACACTAGGAGTGTAGATTCTAATGTGTCTGTAGAAGAAAGAGTTAACGGTGCTGTTAATATATTGGGTGACTAATTATTTACAACTAATCACCTAGTTGCAAATTTAAAAAAAATTGTAAGAACAGTGTTTTAGTAACTGATCATTGAGCAAGTTTGAAAACTGTAAATGTCCTGGAACTACTGAGTGAAATGTTGATTTTATGAAGGCTGGAATATTACTGAAAAACAACCAAAATATAAAACAGTTCTTTCTACCATCTCTTTTAATGTGTTTGATGAAATTTTTTTTTTCAGGAAAAAAAACTTCTACAAGAATAATTACACCTGAAAAACTGCAAACTTTTAAAACAATCCACTGGATAGCAGCAATTATAAAATTGAGTTAAATTTTACTTTTTATTTGTTCTATGAGAACATAATGATAGAAGTCGTTTCAAACTGAAATAAACATGCCCTCCTTTATTATTCAATCACTTGACTGTTTTGACAGGTTTTATGGAAATATTTCCTTATTTTATTATTTAGTTTAGTAAATATGACATATCTGCCTACCATGAACATGTTTTAATGATTTAACAACTAAAGCTTCTTAGCTTTTATACTACTTATTTAAAAAAAACATTCCATTAATAAAAAAAAACAGAAAATCGTCAGTATATAAAACATTGCATATTATAAAGAATTTTTTGTCAATAAAAACTCTCGGGAACTTGTTAGTTGCAAGTAGTAATTTAATTATGATTGTCAGTTTTTATTAATCTTACAGAAGCATAAGATGTATCTTAATAAAATCATTTCAATATAGGAGACTAACCAGAGTTAGAATTTGTAAAAAAAATATCTAAAAATGTAATACTATAATGGTACTCACCCCTCCTCGAGCAAACTGTTTAAGTTTGCTTGTATCAATCTTCTCTATCTTGTTACTTCTGCTGTGAACTGTGTTCCACCCTTCTTCTGAAAAAGGAGGATTACTCCTAATCACGTATTGCATGTTTATTATCTTTAGTGATGTTCCTTATGTGTGATTTATGACATCTTAATGTGTATATGAATTTAATGAGAAGCACATAAAAGTAAATTTTAATATTTTGTGCATATGTTGGATTATAACTATTTGATATGGTTTCAGCAGCTTATAACAAGGAAATTATATAATTGTGCTTAATACATACTTGTGAACCTGGCTTGCTTATGATGAAAGTTAAATCAAAATCAGTCAGAACACCATGAAGAAATAATCAGTGGAATTCCTCGTTACTGAAGCCAAAGCCAGGTTCTATGTGAAAATAATTTAATATAGATGTGGTCCTTTCATATTTAACTTACTAATTATTTATTCACTAACAGTTGGTAGGTAAGTGTATGAAATTATGTAAACTGTTTTCTTACAGCAAGCTGAGGTTGAGAATATACAACTTGGACCTGGTCGATTCTTCTACAGTTGGGGTAAAGGTAGTAGTGGGGGAACAAAATCTCAAAGTCAAGAATCAGAAAACAAACATTCATTGCCTTCCAACAGGTAATACTAAGTTAAATGTTATATCAATAGTCAGGTGTTCAGACAGTATTTATTTTTCTTACTTTGTAACATATTTATATTGTGAAGTTATTTTGATGTTGGAGTATTTCAAAAAGTTAATTATTGTAACAAATGATGAGAATAGAAATAAAAGAGTAACAAAAGAAAAAGCTAGAAATTGTGTGTGTGTTCTTGACAGATTTTCTGTTGAGTGGAAAAAAAAAGGCTTAGTTCTATATGTATTTATAAGTAATAGTTAATAATAAGACATATTTTATAATAAATTATTGTTTTTATTAATAACGAGTTAATGAAAGAAGGTTACTTGTATACCTAAAGGTGTGTGGTTGGATTGTTTCCTGGTACTTCAGAATTATAAGTTGCAGTTTGTTATTGTGAGAGTTATTTTTAGTGAACATTTTTCAAAAACCTATAAATAAAATATTATATAAAATAAGGTATGAAAATTAATGTTGTGGTTCTTATCATAAGTATGATAACTTTATGAAATATCCATTTTCAGTTTAAAAGTAAGTAATTTCATGATGTAATTGACAATTCTCTCTAGATTCTTAGCTTTGTCATCAACAGAACAAGGTTTTGACTCAAGAAGAAGCATTCAGAGGTGAGTTTGTCACTTGTTAGATATCTAAACAAAGTAGCTAAAACACCATTAGTTACTTGAGATGCAGATTTTGTTTTTTTTTACATTTTCTACTTTTCCTGAATTTTGTGGGAATATTGAGAGATTCTTCAAGAGTTTAGGTGAAAAGAGAAGAAACTGGTGCTTGCTTTATAAGTATGAAAAAAATCCATATTTTGTATTATATTAAAACAGTTGTAATCTCTTGTTTCGTAACTTTTTAAAATACATTCTGAGATATTACTGGACTAACTTACTTTAGCAGTAAGTTGTAGCAGTTAGAGAACACTGGACGATTAACACAATCTTTATAAGTGTTGTAGAATTTTCTCATGATTTATAATTTTTCTGTCTGTTTATTTTTTGTTATTAAAGAACTGTCATTGTGTTCATTTTACTGTTTTCATAAGTCATACTTTGTTCATCTCAGAAAACCAGGTGAGAAGAAAATTTGACTCAAATATGCAGATAAGCTGGAGAAGATAACAACAAATATGTTGTTATATAACGAACTTAATAGTATAGTGTGAAAAATAACTAACATTTATGTTACAAGATCAGTCAAGTGTTGTTAACTGTTCCTCTTGAAGACATTCACTTCTTGTACACATAGATCATTTAACTTTCAAGAACTTTGTGACTTCTTATTCAGGTCAGCTGCTTCCAGTAGAGAGTCCAGTCAGAACCGTGGAGGTCCAGTTTTTAGGAAGACTCCTTCCCAATCATTACCAAAAGAACATGAGAAAGTAGTGGCTGTTGTTAAACCCTTTATGCCTGGTGGTGGTGGTGGAACTTCTGGATCAATAGCACCTCCATTCTTGGAACCACAAGATAAAAAGGAAAAAGCAGGTAAAAGAAAAGTCTCCTGGTGGATTGTTATACATTTGTCTTCTACAAAGTTAACTTCTTTGCAACTTATTTATTATTTATGCAGTTGATTCAGTAAATTTCTAAATATGTTGCCCTTTTTTTATTAACTTTCATTCCTAGAAAGAAGGTAGTTGTAAAACACAACTCCTGATAATTATGTGAAGTCCATAATGAAAAACGAATATTGTTATGGCATGATTTTGTAAACAAATAATTGGTTTCACTGGTGCACTCCTAAATGTTTTTTGTATATTGTTCATATCATTTTGATACAATTTGTAAGGCTTGCTATTAAAAGTAAACAATGTTTCTATTAACTAGAGAGTTAAAAAGAAACTAGACTATCAAAAGTATTTGAGCATTTTTATTTTTTACAGATAGTGCAAGAATGATGCTTCAAGGTAAAGAGATGTCTGAAGAAGAGATGGTAAAAAGAACAAAACCACTCATAGATGAATTTCTTTCCAACTCTGATTTCAAGGTAAATTCATGCCTTGACCTGTTACTTTTGATCTGGATATAACTTCATGCTTCATAATAAGGAACACTCTATTTTAATAAGGGTAAAACAGTTTGTTAACTGATAGCTTGGTTATCTAGATCAGAATTTCTAATGATAGAAATACTTCAAATTTAAGACATTACATAGAAAAAAATATAAGTATATTCAGTTTCACATTATCATAGGTTAGTCTTACTACACAGTCTGCAAGTCAGGTAGACATGTTGGTGGGTTTATTTTCAAACAAAGCTTTCTGGTACACACTTTTCTTAAATTCAGAATATAGATTTGAACTTGTAATCTCTGGAATTTGAATTGCCCACTAGCCTGGCTGAATTTGCACTAGTTTCTGGACTATGAGAAAGTATAACCCATACCCCAATCCAAAATTCTGCATAGAATGCAGTAGTGGCCACACATATTGGGTTGCTAAGTCATTTTCTCCACAGTCTTTTGTTAGTGCAGATGATATAGATGGTCAGATTAGATTCACTTGAGCTTATTTGCCAGTGAAGGGTAGCTTGAGTGTGGTAACTGCCTGATTATGAATACTTCTAGTATTATGTGCAAGAGGAATACAATCCAGCCAATTCCCTGATATCTGCCTCTTTACGGCTGAACACTATTGAGAAGTGAGTTTTTTTGGCAGTAAAGTGTTTTTTTTTAGGTTAACAGATCAAGCCCTTTATCAGAGTATTATTATTTTTTTGATTCTAATTTGAATACTGGAAAATGTGACACCTACCCAATTCCCCATATTTGGTCTCTTTGACTTAAGACTGAGTGTTAAATGAACCAAGTTAGACTTATAACAGTAGTTAGCCTTTTTTTTTAACATTATAAAGGTTTTTGTGAACATTTTTAAAAAATTAATTGTATATATGGTTGAATTTATAGAAAGTGTGATGGTCTAAAATGAACACTACTACAACCAGGGTTCAACAACAAAAACTTTATTCACAGTAATAACACTTAGAAATAAATTTCACACTTACCAAAGTACAGTTAATAAACAAGTGCTTGGCCAGGACTTCACACCAATATTAATAAATCAATGATAATGGAACCAGGAAAAAGAACTAAGAAGAAAAACTTAATTCCAAAAAAAATATGCCAAATACAATATTCCAGAAATATCATTCAATATCAATAATAATATTGATTGATAAACAGCAATAATTCATTAACTGTCTCATGACTCTCTTTCTCAGGGTTTTTATTCACAGAGTAGGTCATGAGAGTACAACGTCGTGCAGTCATAAATTTACATACTCTTCTGCTACATTAATAGTATCTGTACATCACCACTAGGGAAGTTGGTGTTAGTCTCATCATACACACATATTTACTCAAAATAAAAATGGTTAGCTAGAAGGTGAGTTTGTGCCTAAAAATTCATAGATAAACTAAACAATAGAAGTAAATAATAAATGAATGATAAATACAACCATAATCATAAAAAAAATTGAATTTGCTATTTCACAAAAGTAATGTTAGAACCTCACATACATTTTAGCATTGGTGTTTTAGTCAAACAATCAAAATGTTAAAAGTCTTGTATGTGTCTTAAATAATGAAGGTTTTCATTAATTTAAAATAACCTGACTATACTTGATAAATATTTAATACTTGTAAAGCAGATTTTTTTCCTGCTACACACTTCTTGAAAATGCGGCAAAAATAGCACTGTTTGACCAAGGCCAGACATAGCCTGGTAGTTAGTGTACCTGGTCTGTGAATTTGTTGCAACAAAATACTTCTCTGCCCTTGGGGCCATTGATGAAGTCAAAGTGTTTATTTCCAATTTATGGGCTACTCTTGTTTGACCAAACAGTGGCATTTGACTGCTAAACAAGATATACACGTGAATTGTATTTATTAGACTAAAGTTGTGTATTGTAGAGTTTTTGTGTAGTTAAATCATTTACTTCTTTTTGAGTTGATTGATGAGGCTAAAATTGTTACCAAAATGCCAAATTTAGTTTTAGATGCTAAGTTGGTGGTGAGGATGCAATGCTGAGTAAGAAATGCTATTGTTCTGGTATGAAATATTTTTATATGTGATAAAATGAATTTTGTATTTTTTTTTCATAGGAAGCATCACAGTGTGTTGTGGAGCTAGCATTGCCCTCTACTGTTATTTTCTTTATAACTGCTGCTATTAACCAAGTCTTGGAACGGTCTAGTCAGGCTCGACACCTGGTTGGCCAGCTTCTTCGTGACCTAGTATGCAGAAGAATTATCTCTGCTGAACAGTATACTAAAGGGTAGGAATGTTTATGTATTTCTGATGTTTTATTATAGCAATGAATTCTGAAATAATCAAGCAGTAGTTAAGAATAAATTGCATTAAAACAGAAACTCTAAATAATATAATCAATTTAAAAACAATTTATTTTTGTGTTGGTAAAAACAGAAATTTATTTAATGTCTGTTTGCAGTCTGTACCTGAAATTATTTAGTGTTTTTAGTATTAAAAGAGTAGAGGATGTGAAATTTTGATTAATTATAACATCCTTATCTATAAGTACATCACATCAACAGGCACACCTTAAAAATCTACCAGTTCTGTGTTTTATGATGAATTATCTATGATTTAAATTAACCCTTTCGAGACAGGTCACAGGTGAAAGGCCATGTCATCTCGTTTGTTGACTCATATTCAAAATTTTATTGAACTACTATTTTATGTCAATGAGTTTGGTATCAGTCTGTAGATTATAATTCAAATTTTAGAATTATACATTACTCAGTTTGTTAATTTAAAAGTAAATATTAAAAAACTCAGATAAACATTGATTTTTGTGTGTCACATAGTGTGTTGAATGCAGCACTAGTTCAAATTACATGTTGTGAAGTCAAGACACTAAGCCTGTAGTTTTATACAAATTAGAAGCTCAAATCACAGATATTGAAAAGCTAGAATATAAAATAAGAAGGTCTTTAATAAATCAAACACAGTGGCACCCCATTCACCTCTTTCTATTTTTGGAAACACTCCCTTATATACACTAACTCCTATATATGACATGAATAACCAATCGGAAGCTCAGAATATCCCTCAAGTGGTTTTCTCAGCCTTTCTAACATACCTAACAGCATTTCTTTCTTTTGAACCAAAATTTCAATGAGGTGCATTGTGTCTTTAGTCTGCTTGAAATTTCATATCTTTTTAGAC